GTGTGATAAATACATAGAGTAAACGTAGTGTGATAGATACACAAAGTAAGCGTGTGATAGATACACAAAACGAACGTGTGATAGATACACAAAATGAGCATGTAGTAGATACACAAAGTGAACGTGTGATAGATACACAAAGCGAACGTGTGATAGATACACAAAGTGAACGTGTGATAGATACATGAAGTGAACGTGTGATAGATACACAAAGTGAACGTGTGATAGATACACAGACTGAGCGTGTGATAGATACACAAAGCAAACAGAGTGTGATAGATACACTAAGCAAACAAAGTGTGATAGATACACTAAGGGTGAACACAAAGTGTGATAGATGCACTAAGTGAACAAAGTCTGATGGATACACTAAAGGTGAACACAAAGTCTGATAAATGCACTAAGTGAACAAAGTGTGATGGATACACTAAAGGTAAACACAAAGTGTGATAGATGCACTAAGTGAACAAAGTGTGATGGATACACAAAAGGTGAACACAAATTGTGATAGACGCACTAAGTGAACAAGTATGATAGATACACAAAAGGAATGAAGTGTGATTGATACACTGAATGTATAAAGTGTGATTGATACACTAAATGAATGATGTGTGATTGATACACGAAATGAAGAGGGTGAAGTGTGATTGATACACCAAGTGAATGAAGTGTGATTGATACACTATATGAAGAAAGTGTGATTGATACACTAAGTGAATATGTGCGATAGATACATAAAATGAGAATGTGTGTGATAGATACATAAAATGAGAATGTGTGTGATAGATACACAAAACATAATCAATCTTAAACGAAACTTTTCTCAATGAACCGCACATCCAATATTGCCTGGTTGCGCTAGCTTCAAATAAACGGTACATACAGTATCGTGCATGTATGAGAAAGAAACTTGATAGGTACAATGCAATACAATGCATGATGTTTAAGAAAACATAGCGGCACTTTAGAAAGCACCTCATGGGATGAGTGGCGATGAACCACTCTACTCTGATGGGGATCCCCCCTTATGTTCTTCGAACACTTACCTTCGACTCACAGTTCAAAGGTCCTAAAATGCTGACAAGTAGCAACATCTGCATGTAGAAGCTACGGATGTCATTTTTCTTCCTGATCATATTCACAACTTTCCCTATTCTCCAACGGGGTGACAGACTAGGTTGGTTTTGTATCCAGAATTGAGACGCGCACACGCTATCTCAACCTATGGGGCTTCCATACAGATTTCAAGTCGGGGATACACCCCTGGGTATTTAAACCAGACTTTAGTCTCGAAAATCCCGAACCTTTGCGTTCTAGGCAATAGCCATTCGAACTCCAGTTTCCACCGTCGCAATTGGTCTCCTAGGAACTCATTGCAAACACAGCCAAGATAACTCTGGCAGGGAACGATACTCAGGGAGAACACTTCTGATTGCCATTCTGGCTTGAAGCAAACTTGATCTTGAGCTTGAGGTAGAGGCACACTCATACTTCGAAGCATTGACAAGGGCTTGAAGAGGTACATCCGGAGTACAATCACGGAATTTTTTGAAGTTGAAACAAACTCAGATGCTCCAAATTTTCCCTCTTTTCTTTTGCTTTGCAGTCTGGAACCTATATAGTTTCAGATAGGTCCTGGTTTTACTGTTCTCATGTGACTTGGGTTGAACCCTGCAGTTTTATGAAAGAACAAATCTTGTTTTGTACACATGTGGAGAATGGCACAGCACTCTGAGCACAAAACAAATCATTTTGAAATTAAGAGATGAGTTTTTGATCGGGTATTGAGCCTACGACTAAACACAGCACACCACAACTCAACAAAGGAAAATAAAAGGTAAACAACCTAAACACATCTATTGACGCTCAAAACGACTCAAGACAAGAATCGAGACAAACAAAAACACAACAAAACACAAGACTCAAATGCACACAGGGAGCCTGTTTCTTCGGATATTGTTTCCCACCCTTTCTTATTTGTGATTCTCACGTCACTCGACCCTCAGGCTCTGTTTTTTTGAAAAAACCATTTCCTCACTTTTTCTCTCAGCGCACATCTCTCTATTCTTCAATCTCTCATTTTTTATCCCTCCCCTAAGTGGTTGATGGATAAACAAGAAGTTGCGGGTTCTTGTCCCTGGCATTCTGCTAGATTCTCATTCTTCTGCGCACAGCTAACGAATTTTCCCACAAAGGGGTTGCGCTACAACTGGGTGTGCAGCAGATTTGCAACTGACATCGATTGACTATGTTTTGCTGGGGAGTTTGGACGTGATAAAATATGTCCAAACAAGGGGGTGCAGTATCTTGATCTAATCCAGTTCGTGCCTCACACTTGGCTTGATACCTCGCTGCTCGGAGGATGAAAGAGTTTTTCGCCCTTTACTGACAGCTTCAGCTGTGCCTTTTCTAGCAGGTAGAATGCCCTTCTTGGCAAGTACGTTGTCAATGGGGAAAAGATAGAACACCTGACCCAACTGTGCCCCTAGTTCATCATTTTGACCATTTTTTGTTTTGGCTTTCTACTAAAACAATTTTGACCAAGATGAGAGTTAGATTAACATACTTGCTCAACTTTTCTGATTTGAAATCATACAAGTTAGTTTGTGAGTACTGAAAATTTCCCTTTTTTGTGTCTAAGAAATGGTCCAGTTTTGGAAAGATGGAATAATTTTTGAGAAAATTCGTCAACCTCAGTAAAAATTCTCAAAAACTGTTTTTGCAGACGTCCATTGCTCAACGAGCACGGAACCTACTCTTGAGATGCACAACCTCGGATTCATAACAATGGAAAACTGCCCCTTGTCTGAAGGACGCTGCATGGCAACGGAAAGTTTCCCCTTGTTTGAATGGTACTGCAACACACTGAATGGCAACGGAAAGTTGCCCCTTGTTTGAATAGTACCGCAGCACACTGTAACCAGCTCTCAAGGTGGCAATCACAACCGAACTCTCGGATACAGAGAAGACAAAAATGATCAGAGCCATTACATGGACACAATCGATTTGGAAGTGTTTGTGGCTGGACTTCAGAATGAAGTTGCCTACGTATCCCAAGCATGAGAATCAAGCCTTACGTTCCGGTTAAGGGACACTCGAGTATTATCCGCTCTTTTTACGCTCTAACTTTTGACAAGGCCGCCCTTCCGGGTTTTCAACCTTGCAAGCTTTGTTTTTCTTTTCTTTTCATTTCTTTTTTTTTCATCTTTTCTATTTTTTTTTATTTCTTTTCATTTGCTCTAACTTTTACCTAGGTCGCCCTTCCGGGTTTTCGGCCCAGCGAGCCTCTCAAAGGTAAAAGTGCAGCTTTGGTCCATGTCAAATGGCTTTAGGATCTCGAGGCCATCTAAATCCAGGAGAATGGCTGCTGTTTACTGATGATGTTGGAGTCCATCCAATGGGGGCTGAATTTGCCCCTGCTGTTGTGGATAGGAACTCGATTGTCCTTCAACAATACTTTCTTCTTTCCTCCTTTCTAAGATTTGGCATTCTTGCCAATCTTCATTAGTTTGAGAAACATCCCAATTTTGACTCTTCGAGCAGGTCTGACATTTGTGTCCCTAGTTCGAGGGGGGCTTCTGATCTACCTTCGCAAGCTTCCTTTGATCATATCTAACCTTCTTGCCCTTAGTTCATGGGCCGCTTCAAATTTGGCCATACAGGCCTCACAATGTGGTTGACCGTTGAACATCCTGAATCCAAGTTCAACGTTTGAAAGCAAAAAGGGTCGAGTCTCGAAGCTAAGAGCGATCCTAAGCTGCACAATCTCAAGAGCGATTCCACACAGGTCTTTGCAGGACCGTGCAAAACATTTTTTGAAATCTTTCAAGAAAGCGACTAGTCGCTCGCGCTAAAGACAATGTAGAACCAACCTAGATCAAGCTAGGATCCTTCTTAGTACTCATTTAACAAACATGATTTCATTCATTAAGGGCTTAGCATGCCTCTCTTTCTCTCAATTGATTAAATTTTTGCAAATCTAGAGGAATTCCTCACTCTTTGTTTTCACCACAGTGTTCAAAAAGAGTTTTGAAAAACTTAGGTCAATGCAATGATTTCGAGGCACAGAAAAGTAAGTGAAAAGCACTGTCGTTTCATTCAAACTTTCTGGCACAACCGGTGCAAGACAAAAGCAAACACAAGAGTATGAAAATTTACTACTGTTTCATTTAGATCTTCTGGTGTAACTGGCTCCATGGTAGAAACAGAACCAAAAGAAAGCAAAAAGACAAATACAAAACAAAAAATTGATATCCGAGATAACACCCCCGGAATCACCCGACTCCTGTACAACAGGACTGACTCGATACAACAAAACAGACCCGATTGACATAGTACAAAAAGACTGACTATATACAAGACAACAAAACTGACTGAATACCCAAGTCAGACAGTACAAAAGCTAGCACTCGCAAATGCTCAAAATAGTGCGTGTCATACGCCACATCTGGAATAAATTGAGCGCCGCCTGCAGGTGGTTCACCCCCTGATCATATACTTGTATTATCCTTGAAGTTCACTGACCCAGTGATGATGGACTTTGTTGAGCTGGGTGGGAGGACAACCCTGTTATCAAACAAAGTACTTCGTGGCGAAGACGGAAGCAGTTGTCAGTGGTATGGCCGGTTTGTTGATGGTACGCATAGTACTGGGTAGCATCATGACTAGATGAAAGACGACTAAGGAGAGACCGAGGCTCGAAGGGTTTAAGATGCCCCTTTTCAGTAAGAATTTGAAGCGTCTTAGACAAAGGCATATAGAGGGCATGGAAGACCCTGTGACCTCGGGGTAGATACTTTGAGGTTTGCGGACTTTTGCCAGACGCACTGGCAAAAGGGTCGGCAGGTGCTGACTTGGTTTTTGATCTTTTCCGGGTGCAGGGTTAGGGTTGGAAGGAATGGTTCTGGTACGACGGTCCTTGTTTCGATTTTCCCCTTGGCTTGAACTACTCTCACTCTGAGTGGGAAAAGAGTCATCCTTTTTACAACAACAGCGAGCACCTGCTGTCCATTCAGTCCTCCGACTTTCAAAGCCTCAACAGCCCATATGAGTCGTTCATAGGGATCGGTGTCTACCTTCACCATGTCCTTACCACTCGCCTCAGCTTAGTGGAAGGTTTGGGTTGCTACATCAGTGCGAAGTCCTATTGTTGTCGACATGTCGTTGTCGAAACTTAGGATGGCTTCAGGTTGACTGAGTTCAATTATAATTCGCCCCAATAGCGGAGGCTCTTCTGGCATGAAGTTCCCGACATGTGACATGGTCGGTGGTGGAGCCGATATTCCATAGGCGAGATCGGCAATAGATCTCTGAAGATCGCCAATCATTCCCATCAACTCAAAAGTGGTGGGCTCATGGGTTTGAAATATTTAAGGTTCCCAGATTAGATGTGCGGCAGGTGACCTGGGCGGACGTTGCATCTCAACATCGGTCTCACCTTGTATGGTGATTCCTTGGTTTAGTGTCGCAGCCATGACCACAATTTCATCTGAATTCTATGTCATCATGAGTCTGCTAAACTGAACAGAGGTGATGTGACTAGTGGCTGACAGATCTGATGAACCGGTGAGCCTTGACTGACCCTTTTCTGCCTTGTCTTAACGAAAGAGAACACTGGTGTAGACGTCCCCAAACGCCCCGGGAGGGATGAGTCCCGTTCTGTTCATTTGGGGTTCACTACAGTTCGGACTCTCAAATTGTCACGGTTCTAAATCTGAACCAAAGAGTCCAAATCTGGCAAATCGTTTTGAGAAAACAGATTTTGAAAGAAGTGCCAAACATGGACTGCTTTGCCAGATATAGAGTCGCCACCTAAATGTTTTATTTTGGGGAAATTTAGGAACCCTGACTCGTTGCCAAAGGCCACGTGTCCGTCATCACCAAAGCTTGCTCGGGGGCACGTGGATACGATTGGAAGGTCCTTTCTGAGGCACCCCGTCGCTCGATCAAATAGATCGGCCTCTACTAAATGATATCTATATTTGAAAACATTATGCGTTCTTATTCCGGTTATTAGCCTAGATTCTAATGCTGAATTGCGCACAGCATACAAGTATAGACTGGTCACACTGAATTGGAACAAAACATTTCATGTTCGTTTGTTGTGAAAATGGTTTGATGGTGCTACACCGCAAGTAGGCTAAGACGTGGATTTTGCCACCCTCGGGTGGGCTCAGAAAAAACATGATTTTGCCACTACTAGTGGGTTTAAAACACACATTTGATGAATTGTTCCAATTCAAAATAACCCAACCTTCACCCACAGGCATTCAGGCAGTTATTACTACATAAGCATATAGCCTCATGGTAAGCATGCTATTCATGCAGTCACTCCACACGCATGCAGGATGCTAAAGCATAAAACTTACCGAGTACTCCAGCCAAAACACTAAGTTATTAGAAATCCATGCATGATCCTAATTATATACGGAAATGCCTAATGCAACACTGTAGACGTCCCCGAACGCCCCGGGGGGTGAGCTCCCGTTCCGTCATTTGGTCACTACAGCTCAGGACTCTCAAATTGTCACGTTCTTAATCTGAACCAGAGAGTCCAAATCCGGAAAATCGTTTGAGAAAAACAGATTTTAGAAAAGAAGTGCCAAACATGGACTGCTTTATGCCAGATAGAGTCGCCACCGCATAAATTTTTATTTTGGAATTAGGAAACCCTGACTCGTTGCTAAGGCCACGTGGTCCGTCATCACCAAAGTTGTTCTCGCTCGAACTTGGGTACGATTGTGGAAGGTACTTGTGAGAACCCCCGCTCGCCCGATCAAAGATCGAGCCTCTACTAATCATGATATCTATTTTTGAAACATTATGTGTTTTATTCCGTTATTAGCTAGATTTACTATGTGATGCGCACAGCATACAAGTAATAGACTGGATCGCCTGAATTGGAACAAAATTTCATGTTTATTTTTGAAAGATGGTTTGCTACTCGCAAGTAGGCTTAAAGATGCAGATTTCTGCACCTCAGGTAGGCTTAAGAAAAGATGGTTTTGCCACTATCTAGTGGCTTAAAACTCACAGTTAATGATTTGTTCCAATCCAGGTAACCGACTTCACCCACAGGGCAACAGGCCAGTTATATCACATAAGCAAATAGCCTCATGGTAAGCGTGCTATTCATGGCAGTCACCTCACACGCATGACAAGGATGCTAAAGCATAAAACTCACCGAGTACTCAAGCCAAAAAAGAAGCTCATATAGAAATCCATGCATGATCTAATTATACAGAAATGCCTAATGCAACACATGCAAAAGTGCAACATATAGCAGGCTCGCTATTCTAAACATGGCATGTGAAATGCTACAGCTAACAAGTATTCAACTTTGAAATTGAAATACAATGCAGTTAGTATGATGCGCCGAGCCCGGGCATGCAAACAGATGAATGAGTGCAAACATGCTGTCATACTGTATGCTAATTGAAATATGCCCTAATCTAACCATCATAGAGCGATAAATAAAAGGGAGAAAAGACGTGGGGTTGGAAAAACATACATCACAAACACAGCACGCACCTTATTACTAGTATTACGCCTCGCGCAGAGGGTCCGAATAAATAGTTACAGTCCAAATAAATATGAGAATAGTACAGTCCAAAATATATTTACAGGCAAATATGTTACAATTCCTAATTAATTAACAAATTAACTAAGAAAATAAATACTGGCATGCATAGCCAGGATGCCATTGATTCCATTCCGGATGATGAATGAGCATGCCGCGGTTGCCTATTGCGCGGAATCCATTGATGATGCCCTCAATTAGCTCTGTTTGCACCTGTTCTTGAAATGGTGCCAAGCCTCAGAAGACCGCTGATTCTTGATTTGCTGCAACAGAGAGCAGGAGAAGGGCATAGCAAATGTATTTTCACAAATGTATGCATGTCTCGATCTCGTGCCACACTTCACGCATTTCGATGCAACTGATGGCCGAGGGGCTCAAATTGCACAATTCATATAGGGATGATATGCACATAAAAACACAGCTAAAACCTAACTCCATCATGGATAATCCGGAGTGTCGGTGACTGGGGAATTGAGACACGTTCCGTCACTCGGAGTATGAAACGTACCTCGTTTCCCGTGCCTGGGCTAACTCCTATCCCGAACACGATGCAATATGCATGACATGCATGAAATGCAACTAAGATACAATCCTAACATACACAATGTTATGAAATGGCATACAAGCTGCATGAGGTAATACACAACCGAGCATGCACAATGCTATGGATGAAATGGCATACGCAATGCAATAATGGGCTTACACCAACATGAGAGAGCCTCAGCCACACTCACATAGGAGGCCATCAGATGAAAACAAGACAACTCGAAATGCGTGCACGCGTGCACGCAAACCGAGGACCGACCCTCAGGCACTGAAATGCCACCCTAATGAGGCATGGCAAAGACATGGAATATGGCACACTATAATGCAAAAATCAGAGGTAAAATGAGATGCTAAACAGCCCCGAAACCCGGTAAAATGAAACCCGATGCATGGAACGAGCCCCGAAACATGGATTTTGGTGCATGAAATGTCTTATAACTATACAATACAAACATAATTTGAACATGAGATGAAAAGACAGAAGCAAGGCAGCCCCTAGACAAGAATTTTTACAGTTTAAAGCATGGCCAAACAGTGAGCACAAGTTGGGCTAAATTAGCATACAAAAGTGGCTCCGCAAGGGAGGCAATGAAGTAAGTGGTAGATACAAAGCCCAAACAGAAAAATACCCTTCTACAACACTGAAGAGGGACCAAAAATATGACTACTTACAGTTTATGGAAGCCCCCAAAACAGCATACAAACATACTCAAAATGCCATGCAAGGTAGGGCCCAAAAGAGGTTATAACACAAAGTATACAAAGCATGCCTCAAACACGAAAAGACTCTTAATGAAACATGACAAGGGGGTCAAAATATGGCCACTTTCAGTTCGGATCAAGGTCCAAAAAAAGAAGAAAAATGGGCTAAAAAAATCATGCAAAATGAGGCAAAAACATGGATTTCAAAGCAAGTAGCACATGGGGTATCTAAACAGTGATTAGCCCTTCTTCAATGTTGAATAAGGGCTCAAAATAAGCTCACTTTCAGTTTATAACATGCCCCAAAACAGATTACATATAGGCCAAAAATAACATGCAAGATTAGGGCCTAAAGAAGATATAAAGAAGGGGGTGCAATATGGAGACCTCAAATGACAAAATTCCCTTAATGAAACATGAAATAGAACTCAAATAAAGGGTACCTTCAGTAAGAAAAATAACTAAAAAAAGATACAAAAAAAAGAGCCAAAAAGAGGGGAAAGGGTGCTTACCCTTGTAGACCAATCTTTAACAACTTCTTGAACCAAATTTGCTGCCTCCTAGCCTCTGAGAAGACCTCCAAGCTGCTGTAAATGGAAGTGGTGGAGTGGTGCTAGGTGATGGTGTGAAAATGGGGTAGGATTTGGGTGTTTTTTTTGAAGGAAATGAGAGAGGGAGAGGGATATAATGCAAGAGGCTCTTAGGGAAATTTTTGTAACCCTTGGACCAATGCTGGAGGCTAGGTATATAGACCAAAGAGGGGGAGAAAGGGAGGGAAAAAGTGGGGGAAAAACAAGCCAAGTTTCCCCCCAAAAGTTGTCCCCCCCGGATACAGATTTTTGGAGGGAAAAAGGTATACAGCTGGAATATACACACCCTGAGGAGCAAGGCCGGCCAATTTTTGGAGCTGCAGGTGGCCGGCCGGCCACCCCCCATAGCCGGCCGGCCAAGGGTCAAAAGGGCCAAGGTGAATTAATGGTCGGCCACCACAAATTGGTGTCCTCCCAGGTGCCCTCAACACAACCCTGTGGTTCAAATTTGTTAACTATAAAACAGGAGAGAGAATAGGCCATTTTTAGGAAGGGTTCAAAAGGGTCAGGTGGAATTACTGGCCGGTCACCAACTTTTGGTGTCCTCCCATGTGTGTACAACACAAATATGGGGGTTAGGATTAAAGAAAGTGACCATAGGGTGGTCAACATTGGCTTGGAAGTGAGAAAAACGGGCGTCGGAGGGCGCCGGAGGAATATAACTGGT